CAGGGGCTGGGGCTTCAACGTATGAATTTGGGGAGGACACAGACGTTCAGTCCGTCACATAGGTTGAGCTCTCTCAAGTTTGTCTCCCTCACAGGTTCACTGAGGAACCCGGGCAGAGCGCGGTACCCACGGGACACACGGTGTTTTCGCTCCCTTGAAATCGCCCTCCCTCCCCCGTTCCGGATGTGTCTGGGGTCACTGCTACACACTCTGTTTGCTTCAGCCTGGCGTGACAGCCCCCTCTCCCTCTTCTGTTCACTTTTCTGTCCTGACTGGCTGTGGACCTGCGGCCCGGCCGCCCGTGTGCGTTGCAGTTGCGCGTGCAGCGGGAGCAGCGGGAGCAGCGTGTGCAGCGGGAGCAGCGTGTGCAGCGGGAGCAGCGTGTGCAGCGGGAGCAGCGTGTGCAGCGGGAGCAGCGTGCGCCGAGCTCGGGAGCCCCGGCTCCGTGCGACTGTGCTCCCGCAGGACGTGCCGTGGGCCCCAGCACCCGCCACGGCGCCTGCGCACAGTGAGCCCCGTAAGAGCTCAGGGTCCATGGGTGCTGGTCACGGGTGGCTCAGACTTTCTCAGCGTTCGTAGCTGCTCTCTGGTTGTGAAGGCTGAAGGGCTCTGGATAAGCGCGGCACTGGCTTGTCACAACTTATTTGCATGGCAACTGTGGCATCGCCAGGGTGTCTCTGTGACGCTGTGCTCCCCACCCAGCCCCGGCAGGTGGACCTGCGCTTGTGATGGGGCAGTGCTGGGAACTCACTCGGGGTCCCTGCACCTGAGACTCGGGGCCCTGCTGTCCCTGGGGGTGGGGCCTGGCCTGGGAAAGGTGTGTGTGGTCCTGTGATGACAGCAGCAAACCAGGGGCGCCCAGTGAGGAGCACCTTTCCTGTCCACTTTAGAGTTCCCCTCTCTCTCCACCCATCCATTCGTTCATCACCTCAGCCCACGCATCCTTCACTGCTGCCTCCGTCCACCCACCGAGCATGCTAGCCACGGGGGACCCAGCCGTGACAAGACTCAGTCCCTGCCCTCAGAGACATTCTCTTCGGTGGAGCAGCAGAGAGCTCCCCAGGCAAGGGGACTGCGTGGCAGGCGCTGGGGGTGAGCAGCCCAGGAAGGCACAGCACAAACAGAGAAAGAAAACGCAGAGACACGCTAGAGGGAACGCGGTCGCTAAGGTGGGAGGTCTGAGAAGGCGTCTTTGAGGAGGGGACACAAGCTGAGGCCTAAAGAGAGAGCTGTGGGCAGAGGAGGGTGGTCGGGGGAAACAGTGGGGGGTTCTGGGGAAAGAAGAGCCTGGCCTGAGAGACGGACGATGGTCCCCAGAGGGAGAGCGAGTACGGAGCTAGCCCGGAGCCAGCAGGCGGCTCTAACTGCAGTGGGAAACCGGTGCCGCTCTGGGCAGTGACGTGGTCCAGTGCCATGTCACGGACCAGTGGTCTATATAAAGGCCACTCTTGTTGCTTGGTGGAGAATGGATTGAGGGGTCAGCTTGGTGGTGGGGAGACCAGTGAGGTGGCTGTTGCCACAGTCCCTGTGGAAGATGTGATGCCAAGGGTGGCGCTGGGTGTTGGCAGTGGTGACACGTGTGTGGGTTTGGAGGCGGAATCAAGGGACCTGGAGATGGCCTGACTTGGGGGTGCAGCAGGGGGCCGCACAGGCCCAGACTCAGGGCACATTGCTCCTCTGTGCACGGGGTTCAAGCGAGTGCAGTAGGTGGTCTCTGAGTCCATGGCCAATCGGAAGTAGCAAAATGCATACAAATGGCAGAAAAGGCCGTGAGGCTTTGGTTGGAACAACCACACGTTCGGTGATGCCGTTTGCTGAGCAGGGTGAGAAGCGTCTGGTGCAGATGGAGCCTGGTGGGGGTGGGAGCAAGTCGGGGCTGTACAGTGTCCCGCCGTGGCCGTGTTAAAGTTGAGACGCCCGTTAGATGTCCAAGTGGAAGGGCCCCGTAGGCAGCTGCGTGTTCGAGACTGGGGCCCGCACATGTGTTTGGGCCAGAATTCTGGGCAATGTGTTGAAGCTGAGAAGCCCCACTTGACATGACATTCAATCTCTGAGGTCTGGTCAGGGCTCTGGCTCCCTCTCCCTCCACTCCCCCTGCGTAGCACCAACTGGGGACGTCTCAGGTGTGCTGAGCTCTTCCTGGTCCCCAGAGCACTTCCCAGCCCCGCTCTGACTTGCGGGACGGTGGGGATGGTCGCATTTTATGGAGAAGGAAACCGAGGTTCAGAGACTGAGAGGCAGGGAGTGACTTAGCCTGGTCATTAAGCCAACAAGAATGAGGACCAGAGCTGCCCCCAGAGCCACCCTCAGGCCTCCAGCAGCCACCTGCCACCTCCTCCTGGGGTCATGACTTCTCCGTCTGCGTCACCACCCCCAACTGCCACAATCAAAACGCTGCTAGTAACTGCCGAGGCCAGTGTGCACTGTGCTGAGAGCTGTCTCTAAAGTTAACCATCACAGTAACCCTACCAAATTGGGGTCCCCACATTGCACATGGTGAACCTGGAGCTCAGAGAGGTCCGTGGCTTGCCGAGGTCACACAGCTAGTGAGTGGGAACCAGGAATCAGGAGGTCATGGCATTAGCTGCTGCAGTGCTCGAGGGCTGGGGAAATAGCCCGTCTGGAGACCGTGTTCCCTAGCGCTTAGCACCTCGTGTCCGGGAAGCCACTGGGCACTCTGGATTCTCTGGCCAGTGAAGGGCCTCTTTTTTTTTTTGAGACAGAGTCTCACTCTGTTGCCCTGGCTAGAGTGCTGCGGCGTCAGCCTAGCTCACAGCAACCTCAAGCGATCCTCCTGCCTCAGCCTCCCGAGTAGCTGGGACTATAGGCATGCGCCACCATGCCCGGCTAATTTGTGAAGGGCTTCTTGATCAGGAAGGACACTGTCCTGTGGGCCATCCCTGCCCCCCGTCCTCATGGGGAGCACCAAGGTGTCCCCCAAAAATTGTGGCCCAAGGATCTGAAAGGCCTGAGCTCTGCTCCTGTAGGAAAGTTTTCATATCTGAGCCTCGGTGTCCTTGTCTGTAAACGGTTATAAAAGTACTTGCCCTTTCTACCTCTTGGACCGCTGGGAGGGTCCAAAGAGAAAGCTGAGAAAGTGCTTGGGAATCACATGGGACGTGTAAGTGTTAGCTGGGATTGTCCTCACTGGGCCAGACAGTGCGCCCAGGGGTGGCCAGAGGGGCCTGGCTTTGGGGATCCCTCCCATCCTCTGACCATAGGAGCTCCCCCAGGTGGACACCCTGAGCCAGGGAGAAGGCTCACCCTAGAGGAAATGGCTGTGGTCGCTGTGGCCGCAGGAGCCAGAGGGCAGAACGGAGGCGGAAGGGGACCGAGAAAGGCTGGGCAGCTGGAGGGGGCCGGGAGGCCGGGCGTTACAGGGACTGATCTGACTGGAATGTTTCCTAGATGCGCAGTGGTGGTACAGAGAGAGGGAGAAGCTGGATGTTGATGATGCGGGGTTTGTCTGTCTCCAAAGCTGCTGCTGGTCCTGCTACACTCCACTGTAGACATTTCCCCAGACGGGGACATCACGGTCCTGACCTACTATGTGCCAGGACTGTTCCTTGTTCCCCAACAGGATGGAGTCCACATTGTTCATGTCTCCAGGCAGCCTCCCAGCTGCCGTCTGTCCCTGGGTTGTGTCTCCTGGGGCACCAGCCTGCCCTGGGGTGGGGGCAGGCAGTAGCTGCAATGATGGCCCCACTAGCTGCGGTGTGGCCTCCATGGCCTCCTCATGGGCCCACGATCCTTGCAGGCCTCGGTGGCCCATCTGGTGCACAGACTTGCTGAGCGTTGGGCCTCAGCTTCCTCCTTGACTCTTGTTCGGGAGAGTGGAACGAGCTGACCACAGGCCTTGCGTGCACGGCGTGGGGGAGGAGCTCCAACAGGGCAGCCCCGACCTCGAGAGGGAGATGAGTGACACAGGCTCTCTGTGCCTCCGCTTCCCGTCTGCAAATGAGGGATAATCATAATGTCCACCTTGGTAGGTTGTATGAAGAGTAAGACAGTTGGTACGTGTAAAATACCTAGCACAGGTCTGGACACCCAGTGAGCACACATGTGTTGTTCTTATTTGGCAAATGTTTATATTTATTGTGCTAAGCTGAGCATGCAGCAATGATCACGACAAAGGCCCTGACGTTGGGATTCTGGAGCTCACAAGGAAGGCAGACGCCTTAGTATGTGTCTTTGGTTCAGTTTAACAAGTGTGGGGATGGGGACGCCCAAGGGAGCATGGGAGTCCACGGGAGGAACACCTCACCCAAGAGGTAAAGAAGGAAGGCTTCCTGGAGGAGGTGGTGTCCCAGCTGGAACCTGAAAGAGGAGTACGAGTTAGGTGGGAGGGGAGGAATGATGGTCTGGGTCACCTATCTTTTAAATACATTTGTAAAGGCTCTAATAAAAAAACAAATCGCATTCAGTGGGCGATAGTACGAGCAAGGCCAGACCGTGTCAAAGGCAGCTGGTTCACATTTCCGTTGCAAAGTCACGTCACCTCTCTGCGATGGCCGACATGGGAGTGCCTGGCACGGGATAAATGTCGAGTGTGGGGGTTAATGGCATGGAGGAGACCTTTCCCCACCCCCACCCCTCCATCCCCCTTGCAGGTGTGTTTGCACCTTGGTAGCAGCAACCTCCTGAGATGCTTTCTGCCCTGTTGGTGTTGGGGCCTGGCAGGAGGGGAGAACAGAAAGGCAGGTGGGCAAAGGGAATCAGAGAAAGGTAAAGCTGTGGTCCGGATGCCACAAGAGTTCACTCCAGCTCGCCTGCGTGTCCACTGGGGGTCACCAAAGCTCTGCCCATCGTGGTGTCTCAGACCCGGGCTAGTGGACACTTGTCACCCACACTGCTCTGAGCACCTCCAGAGGGGAGAGAGCGTGGTGGAAGAGCATGGGGAAGTGCACCCGGACCTGGGAGGTGGTGGCCAGCACTAAGGAACCCCCAGCGATGTGTGGGGGCTCCAGGTGACGATGTGTGTTGTTCCTCTTCCCACACAGCTACAGCCTCCGCCTGGCGTCCCGATGCCCTCCGCCAGCAGCTCCGTACATCACCCGGCAGTACAGGAAAGTCAAGGCCCCGGCTGCAGCCCAGTTCCAGGGACCCTTCTTCAAAGAGTAGACGCTCCGCCTGCTCCCTGACAGGTACGAGGCAGGATGGAGCAGCCTCTGGCACCGTGGGGTGGGTGTGGGGGCTGAGGGAGGGGGGCTGGGCTTGAGTCCTGGGTGGGAGGGAAGGAGAGCAAGGGTGGGCCTGGTCACTTATGTGTGCCAGGCATGGCGCGGGGCCTCCCTGCAGGAGCAGGCTTGGCTGAGAGCACAGATTCTGGGCCACCTGGGTCCACATCCCAGCTCTGTCACTGGCTGCGGGACTTCAAGCAAGTTACTCCCTCTGAGCCTCAATTTCCACATTTATAAAATGGGCACTACAGTAGTACCTCCTTGTTGAGATGATCGTGAGAGTTACAAGTGTCAGATGTGCAAAGCACCTAGAACAGTGCCTGCCGCATGGTGAGCACCAGATGAGGATTAGCTCTCATTGTAATAGTTACGATAGTAACGTTACTATTGTAATAGTAACGGTAATGATAACAATAGTAATTATACTTAGTACTCAATTGAGACCTTCAGAGGCTTTCAGCCCAGAGAATATTGTGGAGTTCCTATTCCCGCATGTATCTGAAGGTAAAAATAATACAGGTTGTATATCCCTATCCTCAAATCTGAAATCCAAATGCTCCAAAATTTGAAACTTTTTGAGCGCCAACATGATGCTAAAAGGAAATGCTATATTGACGCATTTCAGATTTTGGATTCTAGGATTAGGGATGCTGAATCAGTGGGTAATGCAAGTATTCCGAAATCCCAAAATATCTGAAATCTGAAACACTTCCGGTCCCAAGCATTTGAGGGACTACTTCAGGGATACTCAACCTGTACTAATCCATAAAATACAAAGCTTACTTTATGTTGAACCAAAATCATCTCTTCCTAGGTTTTCTGTTGGTAAAAACCTGGAATCATTCTAAATTTTCTGATGGTAACAACACGGAAGGCAGACTCCCACTTTTGGAGCGCCTGGGCTCTGCTAGTGACCCCCAAGCAGGCTGGGCCTCCCTGTTGGCAACACAGCGCAGTCGCATTTGTTGTGTCCCCAAGGCCAGCGTCCCAAAGCATGATGGGAGGACTCGTGCATCAGAAGATCTGGGGCACCGTTATCGATACAGACCTGGGGTGTCCCTCCCAGGTGTACAGAACAAGCATCCTGGTGGGCGTGGCCTGGGAACCTGCATTAGCAGGTGGCCCTGTGGTTCTGGGACACAGGTAGGGGATGCCTGCTTAACCTAGGCCAGGGGTTAGGCCACTAGCCAGGGTCGTTTGGAATGAGAATTCGTTGTTTAAGCCAAGAATGGGCTGAATTCTGAAACTTTGGGGATTTTTGTGTTATATCAGGAAGCAAAGACTCTCTTCTTCCCTTCTGCCTGCCCTCCCACCACAAGACCTCGCTCACTTCTCCCTTTCTTAAGCAGCTGGGGTTTCCGGCTTGGCTTTATTCCTCTGGGGGTGGGGAGGGGCATAACAGTAAAATCCACCTTCCCCAGAGAGCCTGTTGTCTGCAGCTGGCACTGAGCCCGTCACTCTGGAGCCAGCTGCTCCCTGACAGGGGACTTGACCCTGAGCCGGAATCGTGCGGAACGAAGTTGAAATGGATCCAAGATAGCACAGGGCTGGGAGGCCCCGGAGATGAACCCTCTCCTCCTCCCATTTTATAGATGGAAAAATTGAGGCCTTGAGGGCAGAGACTTGGCTACAGTCTTCTGGAAAATGGGAGGCAGTGCCGGAGGAGCAGTTGCCGACTCGGGGTCTCATTCCTGTCCTGGGATCCTCCCTTTGGCGGAGGCCATTGTGTGAACCTCCGTGCTGATGGGTGCTCCGGGCGTGGCTTCCACCCCAGGGCAGGCTCTCTGCAGCCTGCGGGAGAGCCGGGTGCCACCGGGCTGGCTTCGCGACAGGCTCAGCGGTTTCTGTCTGTGGCCGCTGTGGTCTCAGCGAGGACGACGCCGTGCTATGGGCAGCATTTGCCACACCTTCACGATCCAGGCTCTCCCCAGGGCCAGGCGCCATCCCAGACGGCTGCACTCTTCTTCCTTCTTCTCAGACATGTGCAGCTCCCTGGTCCAAGTGCTCAGACCCATAGAGGCCGAATGAACTTTGCACCTACAACCAACAGCCTCTCTTTGCTCATCTACGATGAATGTTCTAAACTGAACAGTTTAATTTCTAAGTGACTGAAACTCGCTCCCTAAAATCTTATTTAACTTTTTTCTGTTTTTTAAATTTGTATTTACACGAAGCATGTGCTACTTATTTTATTTTTAAGGATTTTTTTTTTTTTTTAATCATCTTACATTGTTTGCCTTTGCCAGCTCAGGCTGCCATAACAGAATGCCACTGACTGGGTGGCTTCAACGTTTAACAGAAATTTACTTCCTGACAGTTCTCGAGGCTGGAAGTCCCAGATCAGGATGCATAGTTGAGTCCTGGTGAGGGCCCACGTCCTGGCTTGCGGACAGCCACTTTTTTGCTGTGTCCTCACGTGGTGACCGTGGGGGAGGGACAGCAAGCTCTCTGGTGTCTCAGAAGCCCACTAATCTCTCATGAGGGCCCCTTCCTGGTGACCTCATCTAACCCTAATTACCTCCAAATACCATTACACTGGGGGTTAGGGCTTCCGTATGTGGATTTTAGGGGACACAACTCAGTCTATAGCACTAACAGCTCCAGGAGATTTTTTTTTTTTTTTTTTTGAGACTGAGTCTCGCTTTGTTGTCTAGGCTTGAGTGAGTGCCGTGGCGTCAGCCTAGCTCACAGCAACCTCAAACTCCTGGGCTCAAGCGATCCTTCTGCCTCAGCCTCCCGAGTAGCTGGGACTACAGGCATGTGCCACCATGCCCGGCTAATTTTTTTCTATATATATTAGTTGACCAATTAATTTCTTTCTATTTATAGTAGAGACAGGGTCTTGCACTTGCTCAGGCTGGTTTCGCACTCCTGACCTTGAGCAATCCGCCAGCCTCGGCCTCCCAGAGAGCTAGGATTACAGGCGTGAGCCACCGCGCCCGGCCATCCAGGAGATTTTTTAAAATGCCATGACAAAGAATTTGAGCACAGGAAGGTATGTGCAGATCAACACCCTCATTTTACAGGGAGGGAAACTGAGGCCCAGAGGGGCACGTGGCAGAGCTAGCATCAGAGCTCTGGTCTTCTGGCTGCCAGGGTGGATGCTGGACTTGAAGTGGGCTGTGCCCCCTTCGTGCAGAATCACACGTGCACGTGGGTCTCGTTCGGAGATGAGGATGGCACTCTCGGAGGACCCGTGAGCGGGGCTGCCTCGCTCCTGCTGCCCTTCCCGGATCGGAAGCTCCGTAACTGTGTGCTGGATGGGCCGAATGGAGCAAGGCGTGGACACAGGAGCTTGGTTTCCTCCTGTCCCTGCCTGCCACTAGCCTTTGCACCCCCCTTTCCTGTGTCTCAGGAGCAGCCAGAGCTTCTGTTCACGTTCAGGCGTAGGAAAGTGCCACCTGCCCAGTGCGGTGTGAGGCTCCCTGTGCACATCCTGTCTCACTCCACCCTCGGGGCCAGCGGGCTTCTCCCGGGTAGCTGAGAGGGGAGGTCTAGGGAGGGGACCAGCGCCTCGCATGTTCCCAGCCACTGTCACTGTCCTCGTCTTGGCTGTTGCTGCTCCTTGGCCAAGACTGGCCAGCCTTGAGCCCTCTGTGTCAGGCCTTCTGACGCTGGCCCTGTCCTGCTGTCCTGGGAGGGGGGTGAGTAGAGGCCCCCATCTCCCTCGTGTGAGAGCTCCCCTCCCCCTCAGGCCCAGCCCCTGCTGCGGTGGCCCCTGCAGAGGGCTGCCCCCTCGGTGGGGGACTGGCAGGATAGTTCCCTTAACAAGTCCACTCAACCCTCAGGAAACCCACACTTGCTGGCCACGGCAGGCCGGGGGAGTGTGGCTGCTCCAAGACGGGCCCTGGCTCGGCTTTCTTCCCTCCCCCTGCTCCTGGGCCCGTCTGTGGCATAAGAAGGTGTTCGCGGGGGCAGGAAGCTCCCTCTCTCGAAGGCGCCCTCTCCACAGCAGGGCGAGCAGCTCCTTCCAGTGCCCTCAGGAGGTTTCAGCAGGTTGGGATTAACAGAGCCAAGTGGTTAGGTGCGGTTTCTGGAGCTACACCTTCAGTGGGTCCTCCACCCTCTGTGTTTCTAGTCACTCATCTGTGAAATGGGTTGACAATGATAGTACCTCTCTCATGGGTACATGAAAAGCCCTTAGGAAGGTGCCTGGTGTGCAGTAAGCCTTCCATAAACCAGAGCTGCTATTACTGTTATTGAATTATTATTAGCAATAATAATAATAATAATAATAATAATAATAATAATTTTTAGTAATAGTACTGGTGACCTGTAGAGAGAACTGTACCCCTGAACTTGGCCCAGCAAGTTCAGTGCAACACAGCAAACGTTACTGATCGCTCACCCACGTGCCCAGCTCTGTGCCATAGTTTCCGTGGAGGACGGGTGTGGGCAGAGCCACCCCTCCTGACGGGAAGAACATGCATCCTCTGGAGTGAGCTTGACCCAGCCAGAGTCTCGCCTCTGTTGTCCGTCACCATCGGCTGACTTGGAAAAGTTACTTCTCCTCTCCGAGCCTCCATTTCTTCCATGTAAAATGAGGATGGGTGTTGCCCGCCCCGAGAATGAGTTGCGCTGGAGAACGGGCAGTGTTGACTGACATTGGGCCCCGCAGTGCCACGGCCGGGGACACACTCGGCAGAAATATGTGCCCACACGTACCAGAAAACCTGTACAAGAATGCTCATGCCTTGTATGTGCACACCCTAGCACCCAGCATGTGCACTCGGCAGACATGTGTGCATATGTTCGTCATACGTGTATTCTAGACACATACAAGAATGTTCTAGCAGCATTGCTCACATGGCCCCAAACTGGAGACGACCAGCTGTGCACTAGGGGTGGACTAGGTGGATGAATGCAGCACACCCTGTGAGAGAACACCGTGCAACCGGACGGCTGGGAGAGCTGTAGCCACCTGCCGAGGGTGGAGGAATCTCACAAACGCGCCACAAGGAAGAAGCCAGACACGGAACATGTGCTGCACTGATTCTGTTTATTTAAGTCAAAAAATGGGCAAACTATTCTGTGGTGGTAGAGGTCAGGATAGTGGCTGTTCTGGTGGGTTAGTGTATCGTAAAGGGGGGCCCGTGGGTGCCGGTGGCCAGGTGTGTGCACTGTGAAACCCACCAAGCTGGGCTTTCTGCCGTGGGTATGGTGGACATCACGAAACAGTTTTGTTAAAAACTTCAGAGGGACACTGCATGAAAGCCCACGGTGGGCACTGAATATGTGGTTGCCATTATTTTTCTTTTCTTTTTCTCCCCAGCACCTGAAGTGACCTGGAATCAGTGAAGCCAAAGGGACTGCAGTCTGCCCCGCAGGGAGTAGCGACCTGTCCCCGTTGTGTGCGCCGCGAGAGAGGGGGAGTGCGTGTGCGCGTGTGGGTGCGCGAGTGGTCTTCAAGCAAGGGCCCTGACCCGGGGAGGCAGGAAGGCGGCCGACTCCACGCCGCCCTCTGGGATGATACTCGGAGGGGGCAGGCCTGGCGCCGAGTCCCGCAGCTCAGCCTTCCTGCTGGGGCGGGGCCTCTCCTACTATGCAATTTTCCAAGAGCTCCTTGACCCTGGTTTTTGCTTCTCGAATTATCTGTTGCCATTTTGGGGGACTTTGGTCCAGTCTGAGGAAGGCCTTGAGGAGGAGGTCAAGTTCCCTTTCAGTACCACCCCTTTCCCTCGCCTCCCGTCTCCCCACAACACCTCTGGGAATCAATAACATACAGACGCCTTGAGACACGAGCCTGAGCCCTGCCCGTGGCCCCAGCACTTGGAAACCCCCTTCCTTGCCTGAGCAATTGAGCTGCTGGCTCTCGAGTCGCTTCCAGATTTGAAATTCTCATCAGTCCATTGCTCTCGAGTCTCTGCAGAGAACGCCCAAAGCAGGTGCCCCTGGGAGGAAGACCTCGTCCCCACTGTCACGCCATTCCCTCCCTCGGGAGGGGCGGTGGATGGGGCCTCACTGGGTGGGACCGTCACACCTTCCGTGTCTGAGCTCCTCAGATTCGCTGCAAAGGGAAACAAACAAATTGGGAAATGAAAAAAAAAATGGAAGGATTAAAAAGCACGGGGAAGAAAAAGAGATTTCCAGAGGCTGTAAATGGCCTGCCAGGGGCTGCCGGGGTGGACCCCTGCTCTCGGGGGGTCAGTCCACGTCTTGGAGAAACACATGAGCTGAGCTTGGAGTTTGGACCCAGCTCAGCCAGGTGGTTGGGTTTTGTGCCTTCGGGGCAGACTCCAGACGAGGACATCTGAGACCACTTGGGTGCTGTGTTCTCAGCCCCGATCTCAGTCGTGCTGTGTCAGACCCAAAGTGGAAGGAGGGAAGGTTGGCGAGCGCGAGTTGTCACACAATAAAGGGATTTTCTTTTTCAGGGCTACTATGGTTGATCTTGCAACTCTGTAAATATGTACGTAAACACTTTTAAAAGCACGTATTTATGTCCCTGACTGTAAATGCCCCGTTTTTAAAGTTTTATAACTTGTGTTATTTAATTACTCAGTCTACTGGCAGCAGTATGGGGTCTGACAAGGGTCCGGGAGAAGGGTCTCGTGAGATCCTCACATGGGCAGAAAAATGCTGAGCATTGGCCGGAGTCACGGTTTTCCTATTTCCAACTAAAAACCGTTGTTTGCTTTTAATTTTTTATGAACTGGAGTCCTTTTGCCCGCTCCTGCAATTAACCCTCACGAGCATGAAGAGCTGTGGCTGCCCCCACCCTCTCGATACAGTTTTGTCGCGTAAATGTCCACGTCCATGAACCATCCCCATCAGCAGGGAGGAAACGCAAACCCAAAGCCTCGAGAGGCACCTTCATCCCACGGCGAATTCTGGGAAATGTTGTTGAGCCCTTGGGGGAGATTTTTTTTGCCGCATGTGCAAATGTGCTGGTCACCTTTCGACACTCCCACGCTGTCAGGAAAACTGTTCCAATGGTGTGTGTGTGGGGGTGGTCAGCGATGGTCTCAAGTGTGGGTGAGGGGCGCGGAGGAAGACAGCTCTGTCTCTGCCATGTGAAGAAAACGGACAATAAACGTGTGAAGAGCCATCGTGAGGAGCAGGTGTGGGGTGATCATTTTGGTCTCTGCGCCTTGTCTTCCGTGCGGGGGATTGCTGTGGCGGCGGGGTGGCGGTGGGGCGGGGGTCCCTGAGTGCTCCATGCCAGCAGCGGGAGGAACCCAGGTCCTCGAGGAAACACGCCAGGGAACATCTCACCTGGTGAGCAAGGCTGCTTGGCCCCCCACTCACCCTTCCAGCCGCCAGCCAGTAAGTCAGGCCATCCTGCTAAGACCGGAAAGGCCTCCCACGATTGCAAATATATTCTTGTCTTTATACAGCATTATTGAGGTCTAATCCACACAGGACCATTTCCCTACTGAGGTGTACATATCAGTGGTCTTTAATATATTCACGGTTGAGCAGCCGTCCTTGCAGTCAATATTAGAACATTTTCAACACCCCCAAAAGAAACCCCATACCCATTAGCAGTCACTCCCCAAGCCCCTCACCCTAGACAACCACAAATCTACTTCCTGTCCCTACAGATCGTCCGTCTGGGCGTTTCATAGAGATGAGACTGTATCACACGTATCTTTTGTGACTGGCTTCTTACTGTTTGCAAGGTTCATCTAGGTTGAAGCATGTGTTGGTACTTCATTCCTTTTTAAGGCCAAATGTTCCCCCTTTTTTTTTTTTTTTTTTTTTTTAAGACAGAGTCTCGCTTTGTTGCCCAGGATAGAGTGAGTGCCATGGCGTCAGCCTAGCTCACAGCAACTCAAACTGCTGGGCTCAAGCGATCCTCTTGCCTCAGCTTCCTGAGTAGCTGGGACTACAGGCATGCGCCACCATGCCCGGCTAATTTTTTGTATATATTTTTAGTTGGCCAATTAATTTCTTTCCATTTGTAGTAGAGATGGGGTCTTGCTCTTGCTCAGGCTGGTTTTGAACTCCTGACCTTGAGCAATCCGCCCGCCTCAGCCTCCCAGAGTGCTAGGATTACAGGCGTGAGCCACCGCGCCCGGCCTAAATGTTCCTTTTATGTTTTACTTGTCCATTCTTCAGCTGATTGACTTTTGGGTTGTTTCCTCTTTTTGGCTATTAGGAATAGTGCTGCTATGAACGATCATGTAAAAGTCTCTGCGTGGACATAGGTCTTCTTGAGTGTATGGCTAGGACAGAATTGATGGGTCGTATGCTAACTCCTCCTAGCTCCTTTTGAGGAGCTGCCCAAATGTTTTCCAAAGTACCTAGACTATTTTGCATTCCCACCAGCAATACATAAGGGTTCTAGTTTCTCCACCTCCTTGTCAGCACTTGTTACTGTCTATTTCCGATGTCCTACTGGATGTGAGTGTAAATAAATTCTTTGAAGAGCTAACCATGCCTCTGATCACATATCCCAGCAGAGTTAGATATCAGAGCCCCGGGGGATGGGGCCAGTACAGAGAATTCTAACGGGAACTGAGAGGCAAGCATGTCCTTGGGTTTGGGGTGGAAGGAGACCCCCAAATGGTCTTTGTCCACAGCCAACTATTGCAGAAGGGTAGAAAGAAGAGCCCAGAATTGTAAATACTTTCTTGAAAAAGGAGAAGATATGATGTGTTAGGGGTTCTCCAGAGAAACAACCAAAAGGAAATTTATATAGATATAATTTACATGTATATAAAAATATGATTTATTATGAGGAAGTGGCTCACACGATTATGAAGGCCAAGAAGTCCCACGTTCTGCCATCTGCAAGCTGGAGACAGGAAAGCCTGCAGTGAAATTCGGTCTGAGCCCAAATGCCTGGGAACCAGGGGAGCTGATGATATAATCCCAGTCCAAGGGCAGGAGAAGATGAGATGTTCCAGCTCAACAATGAGGCAGGAAAAGGGGGGCAAAATCATCCTCCTCCTCCTCTTTGTTCTATTTAGGTCTTTCATGGGTTGGATGATGCCAGCCACACCAGGGAGGGAGGTCTACAGAGTCCACATATCAAAGAGTGAATCTCATCTGGAAACACCCCACAGACACAGCCAGAAACAATGCTTAATCTGGGCACCCCATGGCCCAGTGTCGAGTTGACAGGTAAAATTAACCATCACACACAACTTCCCACTTTGGAGGAAGCTTGTCTAGGGAAAACAAGTAAACAAAGTAGACCCTTCTAGGGAGGTGCAATCCATGCCTTCAGCGCATCAGCGTGGGTTGGCCCTTAGTCTGGGCACACAGATGAATTCCACACAGTGGCGGGGATGGGGGGACAAGGAGGGGAAGAGTAGAGGGAGGAGAAAGTAGACAATTTCAGGGAATGAAAAGTGCTGGTGTCAAGGCCAGTCCTGGGTGTGTTGAGAGCATAGAGGAGGGATCCCAAATGCAGCCTTAGGCATCCGGGAGGGCTTCCTGGAGGAGGAGGGGGGAGGATATAGGGGGCCCTTGCAGATCCTGATGAGGTCTCCTCACCTAATCGCCACATTAGGCCTGAGAATGACTCATGAAGGGAAGAGAAGTATTCTTAGTATTGCAAGTAGCCTGGAATTGAAATGAAAACAATAACGTCCATTTATGGCCTACTTTTCTGCTCCGTCACATACCCTCCCAACACGTAATTGCATCCCATTCCTCCAACAAGCGTCAAGGTGGGCAGGGCAGTCTCTTCTGCACAGGTGGAGCTCAGCGAGCCGGTGACTCACCTAGGTCACACCTGCTCAGCGTCAGCGGGGCCTGAGCCAGCCTCCAACTGCAAGCCCAGGGCTGAATGACACCACTGCCACTTGCTGAGTGCTGGGACATGCCAGGCATTCCCTGTCATCTCACGGCCACCCAGCAGTGCTGGTATCTCGATGGCCATTTCACAGGTGAGGAGATCTGAGGCCCAGAGTGTTAAACGGTTTGGCCAGCGACAGGGCCACACAGCTGGTAGGTGTGAGCCAGGAATTGGACACAGGCCTTTCGGGTCCCAAGGGCCACGATATCCTACTCACCCATGCCTACCCCTCGCCGCTCCCTCTACCGCCCCCTGCAGGTGGAAACGTCACAGCACGGGTCATCTCCAATTAGAGGCATAGCAATCAGCTGCTGGGCTTTTCTTCTTCCCCGGCTTGAAAGCACAGGCTTTGGAGCTCCAGCCCCAGGTTCAATCCCAGCTCTGCTCCTGACTGGCTGTGTGACCTCGGCTAGTCACTGGCCTCAGCCTGCTTCCTTGTTTGTACAGAGGTTGATAATCATATCCACCTTCCTATGTTTTAGTGAGGACATAATTAGCCACTACTGTGCCTCCTTGGGGTAAGTTAACACCTGTTTCTGGGATCAGCTGGTCTTATTGTTAAAAGAAAGATTCTTGGCCTCCACCCCCAAACTTGTTGAATCGGAATTGGTGGTAAGGGGGAGTTCTGGGCCACTTGTATTGTCCGCAAGCTCTGCATGTCCCCCAGGTTTAACGCCTGCTAAATCTGAGGATTATGGCCATAGCAGCGACTGAAAACAAGCATTCTGGCTTCAGCCAGGATGGGTGTTGCCATAGGCTCTGGGCTTTGCATTAAACAGCATCTCTGGTGGCTCTTTGGGCATCCCACTGGGTCATTACTAAGAAAGGGGAGACTGGCTCCCAAAATGCACACTTTCCAGGTGCTTCGCTGCCTGCTCAACCTGGCCACCTGCCTCCAGTGGAGAAACCTAAGAAGAGCATCGCTGGGACAGGGATCAGGAAAGAGGGAGCCCCTCCCCCCCCAGACCTCGGTGGCAGCAGCACGCAAAATGAGAACAGCCTCGACTTCCTTGGGACAGGTTAGAGAGGGCCCAGTGGGGATTGCAATGGTGAATCTATGGTGAGGTCTGGGATTTAGCAAGTTGCCAAGGGACCAGGACTACACGCGTGTATGTGCACACCCAGGGAACCAGAGTAGCCCACGCACACTGCCTACCTAACATGACGTCAGCCGTGGCAGGGAGGTCGGTGCATTTTCCTGGGCACTGTTCGTGGGAGCCTGGCAGAGGGGGACCCCGCAGGCAGCTCACCTGAGACTGTGCTGCTGCCTCTCACCAGCAGATGGGGGTCCTCCCTCAAGGTGAGTCCCAGGCAGGGGCAGGGCCAGTGGGTGGGCCAAGTGCTCCTGGTTAAGGCTGAAGACAAAAGGAGCTCTGGGGCCCCAGAGCTGCTCAGCTGGGCAGGTGGGACCTGTTTGCTGAGCTCTCTGCTCCCAAGAGGCAGGTTGGGATGCCCCTCGGATGGGAGGGGAGGGGAGGGAGGGTGCCATGGTCTGGGGTGGGCTGTGCAGCTCCCTCTGACCCGATGGGTCCCCGGGGTGGGGGTCCTCTAGAAGTTCCAAATGCCCTGACAGCTTTGCCAGCCACGGCTCAGCTAAGACAGAACAGCTGGCCTCCGGCTATAGGAGGCCTGTGCCCAAGAGCGAGGCCTGGCCCAGAGCCTGCCCCTCTGTTCCCATGCGCTGGCGGGGGGGCAGGAGGGCACAGCCCGGGACATCCAGCCCAGGAAAGTCAGCGCCTGCAGCCTGCCCCTGATGGATGGGGCGCAGAGCAAATCTCTCCCTGTCCTTCCTGTCTCAGGGCAGACAGTGAGCGCAGCTTTGCTGACAGGTTGAGGCTGGTCATGTGACTCACGTGTCAGTTGATTTCCGTGCAGGGTTTAGGGGAGGGGACCAGAGGCCAGTAAGAGTCAGACTTGCACAAATCTGAGACTGAGAGTCTCTTTACATTTTGCTCTCTAAACACCTGACGTGTCTCCCCGTAGTCCTGGTCCTGGCAGCTTAGGATGCTGTGTGTTTCTCTGGCTTGTGTGCACATCTCTGAATCCAACCATGTCATTCTGAAAACTCTCCAAAGCCTTCCCATGCTCTAAGATTAAAATACAACTCCCCTTTTAGCCTCACCTTGCACCCCTCCACCCCCTACCTTGCCCTCTCTGTTCCAGCCAGAGCAGCCGTCTTTCTGCTCCTAAACTAAATAAGCTCTCATCTACCACAGGGCCTTTGCGCGAACTAATTCCTCTGCTTGCAGTGACCTTCCCCCCAGTGGTCACATGGCTATCAGCTTGAACGGCCTCTCCTCAGCATC